TGTGTGAATATTGAATGGACCTTTAGAATACGAGTTATATATGTTTAAATAGCATTTACATTTGCGATTTGCGCTTGTCTATCAAGGAAATTCCAATTTATGGGTATCTCATTTAGTTCAGAATATTATATATAGGTGACTGACATTCAATTGGAAAGAAACCATTAAACCGTTTGCCTAATAAAAACATTCCGAGATTTAGTTGCTAAAATTACGTGACTGAAATATATTCATTCAATATTCGAAATATGTATGCAGATTCGGTCATTAATTTTAGTTGACATTCGACGATGTATAAAATATATTCATTCAATATTCGAATAGAATAACATCATTGGTTCGTGCATATAAGGAAAACTGAAATACGCATGCAGATTCGGTCATTAATTTTAATTGAAGATTGAAGATAATTGTATTTTGTACTAATACTACAAATGCATATAAAGGAAACTGAAACTCTCTTAATTTTCTGATGAGACACGAAATATAAAATATAAAATTCGATTATAAGATCAAAAACATATTGTCGAAATATAAAATATAAAGTTCGATTTTATAAAATATTAAATTTAAAATTTAAATATATGCCCAATAGACAATAAGGAAATATGAAATAAGGTCAATTTTTTTTCCTATTTTTATTTATACTTATGTAACGAAATATATTTTGAATTTGAATAAATCGTACAATAACATGTACCAAAATCATTCTATATGCATCTTTTACATTTACAATATTTACATGGAGAATGATATACATAAAATATATCGTACATGTAACAAAATCATTATATAAGGAAATTTAATTATATGCCGAGTAGATAAACATGTAGTCCGCCTTCTATATGCATGTCTTTATTGTTATATTATATATGTATATTTATATCAATGGCATATTGTGTAATTACTCTAGTTAACTAAGGTCTTTTAGCTAAAAGGTGTGAGAAGGCTTGTGGAGTTGCCACGTAGAAAATGGCATGTTTGTAATAAACACATGAAGTAAAGGTTTATTTGCAAAAGTTCTCCTCAAATAATAAGAAGGGGATTATGAAAGTAGTCAATCTAACATATTTTTTTAGTGAACATTTTTCTAAATGATTTGTGGTGACCGTTTTTGGTTTAGTCCCACGATACACAAAAGTTTTTTTGATTTGGTACGTAATCGGTTACTATAAAATCAGTTAGTGAATTAGGAAAAGATTTATATTTAAAGAGGATATATTGTGTAATCGAATCTTCGAATTATAGGGAATGTTATTTGGTTATATTTAATTCTAGTGAAATGTAAATTAGTCCAAACTTAAATGACAAGATTTATAATAGATAAAAAAATAGAACTCTATTTTAATAAAGTACATTAGAAATATGTCAAAAAAAAAAAGATGGGCCCAACAAATATGCCAAAAGGGAAGAATGATGGACCCAACAAATATTTAAATTCTATCAATATAGATATTATAGAATTTTTTAGAGTATCCCCATCAGTGAACTTGAGGATAGAAGTTCACAACTATTATTTTTTTAATTCTTTTAAAAAAAATTTTGTTTGCTTTTTATTAAAAAAAATATCAATTCCGAACTGCCACATGTCATGGCATCCGCGGAACAGTAATAATGCAGGTTCATCATAGTGAACTCCAACGAGACAAGTTCATAAATTTGGTTTTATTATATTAGTTTTTTTTTTGGGAAGTGTGAAAGCACTTCTCATGAATCCTCAATGGAAGTGCTCCTAAACACCTCATAAAAAATATATATATTTGCACTCTATACATATAAAACCTTATAATTAACTACATCCTAAATCTCACACTTTGGTACCATTATTTATAGATACCTAACTTGTTCTATCAAAAATAATTTGCTAATTTCATCAATTTCTTTGAGTCTTAAGCTAATTCACTCTAAAGGGAATTAAGTATAATTCAGACAGCTTGAGTTATTGGTTTCAATTAATAAATCCTTAACAACGGTTCCACTCAATTTTATAATCACCACTGCCGACCAAACTACTTTAATAAGTGTCACAGCTTTTATGGAAATTTTCCGTTGATTCATAAGCTTTTCAAGATGTTCACACAATAATAATAAGAAATTGTTAGATTAACTTTTGCGGCTAAGTTTAGTTTAGATAATCGTTCGAGAACTGATCACACGCTAACATGTACTCACATCAAAAGAAATCAAACTTCATTCAACCCCAGAGGCTACTACGCAACATAACTAATACCACATTTAATCCACAACCAAATCAGTATATAACTACTGATAAAATTATACGTATATGTAAATGCCTATGTAGCACAGAGCCCTATCTAATTAGCTAAAGTAAACGATCAAATCTTATTACAAAATCACTATCTTTCAAATCCCAAAAACAAAAGCATGCATATCGTAATAATCAACGCACTGATTCTGTTTTATTTCTTCTACCTTTATCCTACACAACACTAAGGTTATGAATGGGAGGGGCAGGACAAAGACAGATCATGCAGTTCTCCCGCAATAGGTAGTTCTCCTGCCTTATGTTTACCATTCACCATTTTCTATTTGTAAGAGCAGTTCAAGCGGGAGATCTGCATGCAGTTCAATTTTTTTTGTCCTTTACTAGAAAAATCAGGAGATCTGCATACAGATCTCATCCGCTAACATTTGGTGGTGTTGATCTACCTTTTTTTTTCCTTTTACTAATAAATAGTTTTATTACAAACACTTAACTTTAAAATATATTTATTTGATTTTATAAATAATGTACAATTATTAACTCAAACTATATAGTTCAGATTAATATTATTTGTATCATTTTAAAGTTATAAGCATGATGTATAATCGCCAAAAACACAATATTTTCCACGAAAAATATAAATTTTTCTACATAAGTGTCAGCAAAAAAAATAATTATTTTATATTTTAAAATAATTAAGAAATAGAAGAAGTATAAGCATCTAATAAAAATTTTACAAACATTTCGGCTGAACATACAACATCTGAAATATTTGTTTTGATATTTGGTGTAATTTTTATTATTTTAATATATGATATATAATGTAAACATATTTTGTCATTTATAATTTATAATAAATTATTTAATCTGTTTTATCTCCATTTTTATATATAAATATTAACAATGAATTAAATATTAAGATGTCTGTTCTTCAAAAATAATTTTGATAAACTAAAACGCTACAAGCATCTTATGAAAAATCCAATAAACATTTAGGCTGATCCTACAATATTTAAATATTTATATTGATATTTGGTATAATTTTATTCTTTTAATATATGATCTATAGTTTTGAACTTATTTTGTCATTCATAATTTATGATAAATTATTTGATCTGTAACTTTCCTGCTTGATCCGCTTGATCTGCATTTGTCCTGCTTGATCTGCATGAACCGCTTGATCTGCTTTTACCATTCGAAGCCTAATTAAACGACACGAAATTCAAAACACATACACACATCTCTATAATATTATTTGAGAAGTCAGTTTCCTACGTGTCGCTCTCACGTTAACTCTCGCGATGGTTGATTACTTAGATACCCTTAATGAATTTTTAGATTTTAAGATTATTATTTTTATTTAGTTTCCTTTTTACCTTTTTCCAAATAACATATATAATAAAAAGAAAATATTTCTATTTTTTTTTAAATTAAAAACGAATATATATGTATAAATTATAACTTTGTTAAAAAGGAAAGTTCACAAAATAGTAATACCCCCATTAATATATATTTTAAATAACATAAAATATATTTTAAAAGAATAAAAATATATATATTCATGAACATCCAAAAATTTATCAGTTACACTTTATTTTCTAACATTTTTTTAGAAATCAACATATAATTTGATAAATATTATGAAAATACATGTTTATTTAAGCGATAAATAAAACTAATTTGATTTGATTTAACTAAAATAAAGAGAAAATAAATATTATGAAAATACATGTATATTTAAGCAATAAATAAAACTAACTTGATTTGACTTAACTAAAATAAAAAGTAATAATACTCCAATTTTAATTTAAAAACAATGTTTAACTCAATATACTCACAAAATGAATGACTCGACTAATCTAATTTATATCCAAAATTAGACATCTAACTACAATAAGAACATATAATTTTATAATAATAATATAATAATCTATTTAATTTTATACATATAAATTAGAGGTTGACTTAAAGCATATTAAAAAGAAAAAGAAATATTAACCCATTACAATTTAATTCTTTTTAGCATTTATATATATGCATGAGATTTCAAAATATTATCATTATATTCATTTATGTAATTTTGAATCAAACACTGCAGCTTATTATTTATTTCATCTTAAGCACAATATATATTAAGTTATACATAATTTAACTATAATATATTTACATATCTAAGAATATATTTACATATCTTTTTTGGTCAAAAAATATATTTACATCTAAATACAATAACCAACCGAAATGAAAATAAGAAAATTAATCAAAGTTTTATTATATTTAGAATAAAAAATATTATAGCTGAATTCGAAAAATAGATATTATCAAATATACCGAATTGATAACCAAACCGACTATTGATCCAAAAAATAATTAAACCGACAATAATATATCCAAAGTCGTATGTATAATTAGAATAATATAATATTTATTAATATAAATTATACATATAAATTGATTCAAAACTAAAACTAAATATCAATCAATTATTATAAAATTTTACTTTTATGAATATTCATATCCGTGCATGAGCACGGGAAATCACCTAGTTATTTAATTATATATTCACCTTTTGATTGTTATAAAAACAAAACAAAAAACATGTACTATAAAATTTCCAAAAGAACACCATCTAATCATGTCTATATATTGAAATCCTCATACATTCACATCGCTAAGTCCATCTTAACATACCAAATCTCAGATATTAAACGTAATTAAACCAAACACTGAGAACTCTATTCCTGGAACCTACTAGATCAAATATATATAAACTGAAATGATGTCGTCGAGAGGTAATAACAACCTTGGAGGAGGAGGAACGGGGACAAAGTGTGGACGTTGGAATCCAACGGTGGAGCAAGTGAAGCTTCTGACGGATCTGTTCAAGGCGGGGTTACGAACACCGAGCACCGATCAGATTCAGAAGATCTCTACGGAGCTGAGTGTCTACGGTAAGATCGAGAGCAAGAACGTGTTCTATTGGTTCCAAAACCATAAAGCTAGAGAAAGACAAAAGCGCCGTAAAATCTCCACCGTCGATTTTGATCATCATCAAGACACATATCTCTCTGATCATCCTCATCGACACAGCCCATGCCATCATCAACCACCAATTAAAGGTTAATAAAGATCTATTTACAATTTTTCTACACACATGTTACATATTATATATGCACATGTACTGAAATATTTTTTTTTCTCTTTCTTTTAGATTCTTTTGATGAAGCCTGTGAGGAGGAGAAGGTGATAAAGACATTGCAACTCTTCCCACTACCGGAGATTGAAAGAGCTACTATTACTACTGCGAGCCACAACGAATACAAAAGAGAGCATGTGAACACGACGGTGTTTTCCACATACTCATCATGTGGAGCTGAGATGGAACATCCGCCGTTGGATCTGCGACTAAGCTTTCTATGAATGTGTTTTCATTTTAACGACTCTAATGGATGCCACAAAAGAAATTAAAACATGAGACCCATACACGCGAAGTTATATGCTAAGAACCCGATCAGAAGATGACGTGCGTATTAACATTGATATTGATGAATAGAATATCAAATATTTTCGGTGTAATGGATAAGCTAGGTTGGTGTAGCACTTTAGAAGTTGCAGTGACATTATGAGCCCTAGCTATCATGCGATTGAGATGAGGAAACTCGTCCTTGTAGCCCTAATTATAATTGTATCTTTAGCCATTTAATTATTGTCTTTTTGGAAAACCATTAATTAACTTTTTTTGCTAAATTAACCATTAATTAACTTTGTTACACCATTTTCTACGTTTTATATTATGTGTCCAATTTATCAAAACTCGCATGCAATGGAGGCTTACAAGAAAATAATATAAAAACAGATTACAGAAAAAACACATAGAGTATGATTATCGGGAATTCAAAAAAAGGGGTGCTAAAAATTTTGTTTTTTTCTTTCTTTTTTTCAGATTTAAAAAAAAAAAAAAACCAATCGTGAGTCGCCATATATCGTGGAGCCCGCAGAACAGCCCAAGATCCCATGAAAAACCGACGCTTATTGGGGCAACAGAAGCGTCAAATTTTTCTTTCTTACCTTTTGTGCTAAGCACCCTAAGAACATCCACAATGGTGGATTCCATTGTGGAGTCTTTAGGGAGTATTTTAGTATTGTTTTTTTATTGAATAGATGAGGATTCTTGGCAAAATAATCAATCCAATGGTGGATTCCTTCTAGGAGTCCTTAGGAATTTTTTTTTTTTATTAAACCTAAGCCTTAGCTTATACATGTATTGGGAAATTCATACGGGGATTAAAAGATAAGTGAAACATTTTTTTTTATCAAAGATTTTCTGATGAATAGGTCAGAGACCATCTTACCTAGTCTTCTTCTTCTTCTTTTCACTTATATTTGTGCCAGCATGAATGATATATTGATGCCAGCGACCGCGAAAGGATATTCCCACTTAGCTCTGGTTCCATCTTGTTTATGTAACAATCTTTGGAATGATTCATATCATGAGATTAAAAGGCAGAGAACTCTTGTTAGATACGTTGTGGCATCAAAGACATATATGTGAATGGGAGAAGCATCACAAACCGGATAGGTCTTTGCAAAGAAGATTAGATTCTCCAGTGATATGTACCCTCAACCTCTACAAGACCATTTATGAAACAAATCATCAGTAAAATGACTAGTGATGAAGAAGATCAAATCCACACTGTTGTGTATCGGAAATCTGTAGAAGGGTCTGTTCCTTGCCATCCCATCTCCTTCTAGAGTTCAGACTTTAGAGGTGGTAGCTCCCTCTGTGGATAAGCTAACCCCCATAGTTGTCTAAGTGCATCCTGATATCATGCAATTACATAAATCTCCACAAAAATTTTGATATGTAGAATTAGTATAGCATACAGAGAATCCATGAGAACACTTACTTGATGCTTCATTCGAGATCCATCAAAGGGTATTTATATTCTTCGTTTAATGTTTCTCAGCCTTTCTTCCTAATAAGAGGCCATCAAATAAAATAATGGACATCAGACTGGCAGTGACAGTTTGATATATGATGTTAATCGAGTACACTCCTCTTAACCATATCATTTGATATATGATGTTCACAAGGTAAGATGAAAGCTTTGAATATACCTGCAACATGCTAAGAGGTGGTGGCAAAAGCCTTCCACCAGAGCCTATATGAGGCAGAGTAAGAAACTTCCCAAAAAGCGAGTCAGATCCAAACACAACTTTGGCTGCCAAAAAAAAAAAAATCGAAATGTGATGATCACTCTTTTTAAACAGTCAAGGAGTGCTGGTAACAACTAACAAGACAACCAAGCCTATCCACTGAGACTAATTCAACAATGGAGCTTCTCGATCTAGAAGGCTAAACACCAACCATCAGGGAAAGTGTCTCTCATCCACTCCTCATCCACAATGTCTATAAGCATACCTAGACTCACTTCTGCCATTGGAATCCCTCAAAGATTTCTACTGAAATAAATGTTCAAATATCAGATGACAAACCAACAAAATACACATAAATAACTGAAAAAAATCTATAGAAAGCTCCGTCGGAAAGAGAAGAAAAAAAGATTAGTGTTTCTATTCAGGAATTTCGTCGAGCAGGTTGTGAGCAATCAAGGAAAATAGAACCAGAAACAAAACACAAACCCATGAAGGGAGATACGAGGTTCATCAGGAAAAAATCTTTCTTGGATTGGATTAGTCAAGATAATTTGTAGAGAGAGAGACTCGCCTGTTAGAGACAGTGGAAGGAGAAAGGCAAGCAGTTTTCAGGAGGACCCCACGTCAACAAGAACCAAGTGATTTTAATCCTTAACTAAGGATTACTCCTTAGCTTATTTTGGTTTTATATTATTATTGTATTCACTTTTGCTTAGGATTATGTGTTAAGGATTCCTCATAATCCTCCGTTGCAGCTGCTCTAAACCCCCTTTCCCGATAATAGTGCTCTTAATGTAATAGGCTGAAAATACGCGAGTTAATTGAATCTCGGTCTAAGACAAAAATTTAGTGAAACATTCGTCTATGATTCCCAAAAAATTTCAAAACAATTGAACAGATAGAGGCAGGCCCCAAACTTTATAAAAGAAAGTCTACATCTCCTAAAATCTGAGAGCTTTGTGATATAGTAGAATCTTTCTTGTCTCAGTTAAGGAATTGGTCTTTAAACACATTCCTTCGGTTATTTTCATTTGGTTCGGTTATCTCTCTCATCCCTAATTACATCGGAAATAGCATTATCAGCCTTTTCATATTGGGCCTAACAAAATAAACCCATTTAACATATTACAGGCCCAAGCCAAAAAAGAGAAATAAAACGAGTAGAGAACTGAGAACAGAAGCCAATTAACTCAGAGGAGTTTTCCTGGAGAAGAAGCAAACTTGAATAAAAACCCAGATCGGAAGTTCCCCGGAGAAATCGAATTACTAGTAGCAAGGCTAAACATGGATGTGATAAAGACGCAGCAGATATCAGCAAGAACGATCGAGAAAGTTGTCGTTCACCCGCTCGTCTTGCTCAGTATCGTCGACCACTACAACCGCGTCGCTAAAGACTCGCGCAAGCGCGTCGTCGGTGTTCTTCTCGGGAGCAGCTCTCGTGGCATCGTTGACGTCACCAACAGCTACGCAGGTGCCGTGCGCCTCTTAATTTCTCAGATCTCAGATTCTATCTATATGCCTTTTAATTAGGTTCAGAGTCTCCTTAGGGTTTTGGATCCAATCAAACTCGAATTGTTTAAAGATTTAATTGTAATTTAGCTGTTGCTTGCATATGACTTTTGATATGACATTTGGTGAATTGATTTTTTTGTAGTGCCGTTTGAGGAGGATGATAAAGATCCAAGCATCTGGTTTCTTGATCATAACTACCATGAGTCAATGTTCCACATGTTCAAGAGAATTAATGGTACTTTTTTTTCTGAAATTCTGAAGCTTAAGACTGTGTTTGATGATGTAGAAATCGTGTTAATGAAAAAACTTTTTGCTTTTCAGCTAAGGAGCATGTTGTAGGTTGGTATAGCACTGGACCTAAGCTTCGAGAGAATGATTTGGATGTTCACGCGCTGTTCAGTGGGTTAGTTTCCAGCTTTATCGTTCAGATTTGTTGGATATATTCTTATGTTAGGTTTGGGGATAGATGGATCGGTTTTAAGTTCTGGCAGTGCATTTTTTTAGGAGATGTTGTATGTTATGTTTTATTTTCGATTTTGCTTTTGGTGGTGCAGCTATGTGCCAAATCCAGTGTTGGTCATTATTGATGTCCAGCCTAAAGAACTTGGAATCCCTACAAAAGCTTACTATGCAGTTGAGGAGGTCAAGGAGGTAACAGACATCCGCTTACTAATCTTTTTCATTTTGTGCAGCTGTGTCCTTATATTTTAACGAGCTCTGATTAAATATTTCACTGTCTCTTCAGAATGCTACTCAGAAAAGCCAGAAAGTCTTTGTTCATGTGTCTACAGAAATTGCTGCTCACGAAGTTGAGGAAATCGGTATGTCTACAAGTTTTACAACTCTGGTTTATAAAAAAAGGTCTTTTATGATTGGATTTGAGGAAGGTTTTTTGATATGTAATTGTTTTTTTCTCTCTCGTTCTCTAATAGGCGTTGAGCATTTGCTCAGGGATGTGAAAGACACAACTATCAGTACCCTTGCGACTGAGGTATTTGTCTTTACAATATTTTAACGTTTCATTATCATCCCTTTGGTCCTGAAATCGTGATAGGTGCCTTGGAGGATTCATATTGATGTCTTGGAATGTTTCTATATGAACAAAATGTTGAGGACTGAAATAATGCGTACTGTATTTTACACTAGGTCACTGCCAAACTTACAGCTTTGAAGGGGCTGGATGCACGACTTCGGGAGATCCGGAGTTACCTTGACCTTGTAATCGATGGGAAACTCCCTCTGAATCATGAGATTCTATACCATCTGCAGGTTAGAACTTGCATACAAAGATAATATTCACTGAGGATTAGCTAAGAAATGTTGTTCCTCTTAAAAATTGCAGGACGTTTTCAACTTGCTTCCGAACCTGAATGTGAACGAGCTGGTCAAGGCCTTCTCAGGTGAGTTCATTCCGCCAATATTATTATCTTCAGTACCGGTCCTGACATAGGAATGAGTTCATTCCGCCAATATTATTATCTTCAGTACCGGTCCTGACATAGGAAAGACCAGAAGCAATTTTCAAAAAATTGGTCATTTTTATAAGAACATTTATATACTATAATAATAATTTTCTTATAAAAGGCTGAATTTTTCAAGTATTTTTTGAGGGCCGGAAGCGGTTGCTTGTAATGCTTCCCCTCAGGGCCGGTACTGATTATCTTTGTACTTCTTTCTTGAAGCATTGGATGCATTAGTCTTATTTGCATGTATTATGTGCAGTGAAAACAAATGACATGATGCTCGTTATCTATTTATCGTCCCTCATCAGGAGTGTAATTGCGCTCCACAACTTGATCAACAACAAGGTTAACATCATAACTCTTTCACTCTCTTATGTTCGTTAGCACGGCTGATTACTTTTTTTTGTGAACTTATCCGTGGGATGCTATGTTTCAGTTGCTGAACAAGGAACATGAAAAAGCAGAGGACTCAAAGCCCGTGGCCATACCCGCCACAAGCTAAATCCCGCTGATGAGATGTGATTTTACTTAGTCATCCTTGTCTTATGCGATGAAGGCGGCTGTTGTGTTTTGTCTCTCCCAATAGAACAAGTGGGTGGTTCAAACTGAGTTTAGTTTGGGTATCAGGTCTCTTTCCTGAGTGTTGACTTTCCTGTGTTGTTCTGATTCTGAATGTGTCAAAGAGGCTGTTTTCATTTATCTTTCAAGTTGGTTAGGGTTAGAGTCCTTTTTTCAGTGGGGTTCAAGATGATACAAAGTTTCACCAATGTGTCGAAATCTCCACAAACATTTGCAATTCAAGCTGGTTCCATTATTCAAAAGTTACTCTAAATCGTGATTCATTCAAACTAACAAACAAACCTTCTTTTTGGTATAGGCCAGTCAAAATAGAGGTTTAGAGTTGTAAAAAGTGTACACCAACCTAAGTTTTAGACTGCAGATTGAAAGCCTCTGCAACATAACCTACACTCTCTCTTGAGAAATGGATCCAACGCAAAAACATGTAGAGACCACTTCCTTCGTCCACCTTTCATCGCATTCATTCTTCCAATGCATTTCCCAATGCAGTTCTCTTATTTGTGCGGCTTCAATATAAATGACAGCTTCATTTTCCAATTATAAATGAGACTGAAAAGAAAACATTTATAATGAACAGAGAGTCAAAAGCAATACAATTCTCTCCTTTGCGCAGCTTCTCAAAACTCATGGACTGAAAAGAGAACATTTATGTGAGAGATGTCTTTTTTCAGTCTCATGATTTTGGTGCGTTATGTATTTCTTTTCAATATAGATTACTCAATTTTAACGCATTTTCAAAAAAGTTAACCCAACTGAAAAAGTTAACACATTTTCAAAAAAAAAAAAAAGTTTTGAAAAAGTTAACGCATTTTCAAAATTAATTTGGTTTTTGGTTTGGTTTAGAAATAGGCTAATCTACTTTTTAAATAACATAAACCATTTGTACCAATATTTATAACCGAATTAACTAAAATAACTAAGATACTTGAATATAACCAAACTTTTTTTTTGAATATAACCAAACTTATTTCATTTAAACTGAAAATTTAAATTGTATTTTCTCTCGACAACACAGCTGAAAATTCAAATTAGCCATTAATAAACCGTAATTTTTTAGTTCAGTCTTTTTAGTTTATGAATTAACCAAAGAAATTGTAAAAAAAAAATAACTGAAATTATTTTGAAAAATGTACATATCACTGATATTACCGATTTAGCTGAATCTGCATGTCTATATATGCATCAATGATTTTGAAAAATGTAAAATATCACTGAAATTATTTAAAAAATTAAAATATAATTTTTAGTATAAAAAAAATTAAATAAAACTTACCAGTTAAAAGATATAATGTAGTAAGAATTCAAAATGTATAATGTAGTATGATATGTATTTTCTACAAAATAACGTATATTAACTTATGTTTTATTTTTGCTAAAAATATCAATTATGTTAACATACCCTAAATCATTAAAAAAATATCTGATTCTCTTCACTGTTTTTTTCGGAGAATACAAAATCATTAAACACGACTCTGAAGAGAAGTAACAGAGTACACGAGGAGTCGCTGTTTGTCTCGTGTCCCGATTTGGTTTGTTTATTTAGTACACGTCCCACCAGGTGAATTAGAGCGAGAGAGATGAGTGAGAGTAAATGAAAGGAAAATAACCTTTTTTCTTGAGATTTCTGACAAGATTCAAAGATCATTTTACAGCTTGCAAGTAGGATTCATCATCTTGGTGGGTCTCTACAAAGATGGAATCCGTACAGCAACATCTCGATACCCTTGTCTCTGCTAAAGCAATCCCTGGCTCAAGTGGCTGTGATGACAAAGGAAAAGAGCTCATCACCAACAACGGAGAGTCTCATCAGAGCTCCAGCGGAGAGGAGGAAGATGAGATAGTGAAAGATGAAAAGAGGAGATTTAATGTGTCTTTGTGTTCAGTGGAAGTAGATCTTGAGCTTGGTTTGCCTGAGAAAGTAGTACATTTGTCACAAGATGAGAAAGATTGTAGAATTTGTCACATGAGCTTGGATTCAGTGAATCTTGAATGTGGGGTTCCTATTGAGCTTGGTTGTTCTTGCAAAAATGATCTCGCTGCTGCTCATGAGTATTGTGCTGAGACTTGGTTCAAGATCAAAGGAAACAAGTAAGTACGAAAAATATTGTCTAAATATTTGGTGAATTTTGTATTAATTTTTATATATTTAGAAAGTTGTCTTTTTATTGAGAGAAAGATGCTTTGTGTCTTCCTATAGAGGATAGAAAATATAAACCTTAAGAAAGTGTGACTATATCTAATGTTTTTGTTGTGATGTGATTTCATGGTTTGGTTGCTGCAGAATCTGTGAAGTATGTGGGTCCATTGCTGGTAATGTTGTTGGAACTGTTGAGCCGGAGACTGGGAATAGTCGTAGTGAAGTAAATGATGCAATGACTCGAGCTCTAAGAACATCTGGTCCACGATTGGCGGAAGCTAGAAGTTTCTGGCAAGGTCACAGGTTCTTGAATTTCCTTTTAGCTTGTATGGTCTTTGCCTTTGTGATCTCATGGCTCTTCCACTTCAACGTTCATTCCACATAAAAAAAAGGTAAGAGAAGAAAAAGGGTAAAAGCCATTAGTGATATCTCGAAGAAGTTCATCTCTCGTGTCTTGTTACACATTTTTAAGTTCAGTGAAGTTTACAGAGGAGGAAGAGCAAATGTTTTGTTGGTTGCGGATACATTGTATATAAAGCTCTAGTTACATTAAAGTGCAGTGTTGTGAAGTCTCTTCTCTCATTTCATTGCATTTATGAGAAATCTGTTCACTCTACTTTGCATTCGCATCCCACGAGTTCAATGGTTTACAGAGCAATAAAGAAACCAAGAAAAAAAAAACGAAAGAGTCATCTGTTTTCCGATGGTGTTGCAATAGATTAAATTGTTATGTACAAAAACTAAAACTGGAGCCAAGCTTTTACGTCTCCTGCAACTCTTCTGTGACCTCTAGTTTATCATTTTTTTTCCTCTTTGACAATGGCGACCTGAACACAATCAATGGTCCTGTAATCTTGGATCAGAGACTCCATTTTTGTCTCCCAGAAGATTCTGTTGTAGTATATGATACAGTCTTCGTCGTTTATCTTATTCTCTCCCATGCATGAAGATCTTGTGAACAGATTTGCCATTAATTCACTGGTTCCATAACGTTTCAAATAAGCAAAATCAAGAAGATATGTTACAAAAGTCAGCGACAAGTAATTTAGTTCTAGTTTTATTTTTTTTTTCTTTAATAATTTAGTTCTAATTGGACCACGAGGATGTATTTTTCGAGTGTGTCTACACGGCATCAGTGTGGACCAAGTTAACCAGAGCATTTCTAGGATCACACTTCACTACGGTATGGGAGAATATCCTTCACTATAGATTTCTGATACGATATATTTTCCAAACATATCATCTATGTACTCGCTCTGGCAGGGGAACGGAATGAGAGACGTCATGGCTCAGTTCCTGTGGCTGTAAGTGTGATAACTCTCTTATTACATTAGAAAGGGTTACAAGGAGTATATATATACATGAGAGGTTTAGGTTAAGTAGAGTAAATGAAGTTACTATAAACAGAGATACGATATATAGAAGAATTGATATGATGAGATATGCGTATCCTTAACACGCTCCCTCAAGATGGAGGGGCTGCTGACACTCCAATCTTGTTCACGAGTTCAAGAAAACGACTTCGAAGAAGTGGTTTGGTTAGTGCATCTGCTAGTTGATCCTTGGTGTTGACATGAGAGACTCTCAGCATTTGTCTCTGTATTTGGCCTCGAATGAAATGGTAGTCAAGTGCAACATGCTTCATACGAGAATGAAAAACAGGATTAGCACAAAGGAATGTTGCTCCCAAGTTGTCGCAGAGAATGGTTGGTGGAGCAGGAAGGCGAAGGCCAAGTTCTGTAAGTAGATTGCATATCCAACGTATCTCAGCTGCGGCATTTGCTATGGCACGATACTCTGCTTCTGTGGAAGACCTTGCGACACCAGTTTGCTTTTTGGAGGACCACGAAACTGGTGTCTTCCCCGAGTAGATAATATAGGCATTTGTGGAGATGTAATCATCGGAATCTCCAGCCCAATCTGCATCTGAGAACCCATGTAGCGACGGCTTGTTGTCTGCAGCAAAGTACAGACCATGAGTTGTCGTACCTGCGAGATATCGAAGTATGCGTTTTGCAGCTTGCCAGTGATCCTCAGTTGGATGGTGCATGAATTGAGATAATCTGTTGACAGCATAGGCAATGTCGAGTCGCGTGAACTGAAGATATTGGAGACTGCCGACTAATTGACGATAGGATGTTGGGTCAGACATGGAGTGACCACCGTGTAGTGTTAGTTTTGGAGAGGCCGCCATTGGTGTAGTGACAGGCTTGGCGTCAGTCATGTTGTATTTGTGAAGGAGGTCTAGGATGTACTTGCGCTGAGACAAATGTAGTCATCTATTTGTACGATGCGCCTCAATACCCAAAAAATAGTTTAAATCCTCTGGATCCTTGACAGAAAACCGCTGAGCTAGTTGAGAGAGAACAGTATTGATGAGTGCCTTGCTGCTACCAGTGACTAAGATGTCATCTACATAGACTAGTAAGTAGACTGTCTGCTTGTCTTTGTGCATGATGAACAACGACTCATCTGCTAAACTGTTTTTAAAACCAATTTGGAGGAGAAATGTCTTTAGTTCAACGTACCATGCACGAGGAGCTTGCTTAAGTCCGTAGATGGCTTTGCGCAAACGACACACGTAATCGGGATGATCCTGATCAATGAAGCCCGGAGGTTGTTCCATGTATACTTCCTCTGTTAACGTTCCTTGAAGGAAAGCGTTGTTGACATCGAGTTGAAGAGTCGGCCAGCCTCTAGAGACAGCGGTATCTAGGACGATGCGAATCGTTGTAGACTTTATAACCGGACTGAAGGTAGAGGTGTAGTCCCTGCCATACTGTTGTGTATATCCCTTAGCGACGAGTCTCGATTTTGGCCTGCGAAACGAACCGTTAGAGTGGAACTTATTTTTATAAATCCAGCGACAACCTACAACATTGTGATGCGCTGGTCGTGGGATAAGCTCCATTGTTTGATTCTTAGCGAAGGCATCGAGTTCATCAGACATCGAGCCACGCCAGATCTTATCTTTCAACGCCTGGTTCACGGTTCGAGGTTCAGGAGGAATGTGCGTGGATAAAGCTGCGGAGAGGTTAAGTTTGGTTTTTGGTTTGAGGATATTATTTTTCCGGCGGGTGGTCATGGGATGATGGTTTGTTGGTGCTGGATGTTGAGGTTCTGGTTGGGAGGAAGACGGTATCGAAGGCTGTGTTGTAGATATGGGATTTGGGTTTGGTAAGGTGGTGGGTTGTGTTTGGGCTTGTTCAGGTTGGGCCTGTGTTATTGTAGTTGGGCTTGGAGTTTGGGCCTGATTTGTTTGTGTAACAGCTTCCAGAGTTTCAGTCGTAGGAATTGTCGGAGAAGACAAACCTGAGTTTTGGTCGGGAATTTCTTGCATCACAATTGGCGTCGGAGCTGGTGTCGGTTGTCCCTGATGCTGCGGCGGCGACGGCGACCTGATGAGTGGCACAACGGTAGCGGTTTGGGTGATGTCATTTGATGGGATTTTGGTGTTGGTGGTGGTTGGTTTCAGGTTGCGGAATGGAAAAGCTTGTTCATCGAACTGGACATGTCTGGAGACATAGATGCGTCCAGACGATGGTTGTAGGCACAGGTAAGCGCTCTGGGAGAGGGAGTATCCAAGAAGAACACACGGGGTTGATCGATTCTCCAGCTTGTTGTTGTTGTATGGTCTGAGCCAAGGAAAGCATAGGCATCCAAAGGTGCGAAGTTTCTTGTAATTGGGTTCAACACCAAAGAGTTTCTGATAGGGAGAGGTCATTGCTATCACCGGAGAGGGAAGCCGATTGATGAGATAAACGGCTGTGGCAAAGGCGTAAGTCCAATAGGACTTAGGTATGTTAGCGTGAGTGAGAAGGGTGAGGCCTGTTTCCACTACATGTCGATGCTTGCGCTCAGAGATACCATTGTGCTCAGGGGTGTGAGGGGGAGAAGTCAAGTGAGAGATCCCTGCAGTTGCGAGAAGCTCTTTTAGGGCAATGAACTCGCCTCCATTGTCTGAATACAAGGTACCAATTTTGGTTTGAAACTGGTTTTCAACGAGGGTTTTGAACGGCTGGAATATTTGCTTGACTTGGGATTTGGTTTTTAAGGGATAGAACCATGTATATCTGGTATAATGGTCTATAAGGATGATGTAGTATTTGTAGTTATCAACTGAGGTTTGAGGTGAAGTCCAAACATCTGTAAAAATGTATTGGAGAGGTCTAGAAGAGGAGATAGTGTGTTTCGAAAATGGTAGCTTATGAGTTTTATTAATAGGGCAAGCAGGACATAAATTAGTATGAGAAGAAGTCTTTGAATGAGAAAGAGAAAACTGAGACACAACGGTTTTTAAAATAGAGGCTGATGGGTGGCCTAATCGAAAGTGCCAATCTTCGAGTGTTGGTTGAGGTGCAGAGGCTACGAAGAAGGAGGCTAAGGTTTGCGGTGAAGCAGGCCACTCATACAGGTCTCCTTTAGCTTGGCCTTGCAGCAATGGGACCCCCGACGTCAGATCCTTGACCTGAAAGTGAGCCGGGAAAAATTCGACAGAGACTTTGTTAGCGTTACACAAACGGTAAATGGAGATCAAGTTTTTGTGAATATTAGGGACACATAAAACATTGGTAAGGTTTAAGGGACGAGAGATAGAGGGTAGAGATAGTGAACCAGTGTGAGAGATTTTAAGACCTGTACCATCACCAATGACGACCGCATCTTCTCCATTGTAAGGCTTGTGGAAGGTCAAGTTGTTGAGGTCACTTGTGAGATGGTGGGTGGCACCACTGTCCATGATCCAGTGGTTGTCTTCGTGTTGAGACCCCATCGCAACGTTGGCTTTCGGTTGCCAAGGCGGGTATGAAGAGCCTTCATAGCTGTTGTTGTTTGGCGACTTGTAATTGGTGAGCTGGTTGCAACTCCTAGCACTGTGGCCATGTGTGCCACAGAGTTGACATTTCCCTTGATACCCTCTCCCTGGACGACTGTCACGCTGATTGTGATAACGTTGGTTGTTGTTTTTGTTCCAGGTTTGCGGCTGGCGAGTTTGTTTTTGGTGTGACTGTGGGGGACGACCATTGTAAGACGCAGTTGCAGTGTTGGCTGTAATGGGAAGAATCGGTGGTGTGGTGGAGACAGTTAAGAGCTTAGCTTCACGGTTAAGCAGTTTTTCATGGATCTCAATGATTGATGGTGCGATGTCACGGCCTTCAAGTTGGTCAACAGTGGACTTATACTCTTCTGGTAAGCCTCCGAGTATATACTCCACCTGATCTTCATGCTCTATCGGTTTACCCAATAGGGCCAGCTGATCAAATCTTGTAGTGAAACCTTGGATGTATTCATCTATAGATCGAGTACCTTTGGACCAGTTTTTGAGTTGCAGGCGAAGCTGTTGAATATGTCCTCGACTTGGTTTGGCATAGGTTTCAGCAAGGGTTTTCCAGATGTCTGCCGCTGTTTTGGACGTGGAGACTAGGGGCTGTACGGTTGGAGTGATGGAACCGATGAGTCCACTGTAGATGAGGCGATCTTGACGCTTCCAAAGTGCGTGTGCAGGATTGGCTGATTCAACTCCATCCAGCATGATTGTTGCAGCCGGCGATGGGATGGAGCCATCGAGATGATCACTTAAGTCATACCCATCAAGAAGGGCATGAACCTGCAAGTTCCACATCATGAGGTTGGTTGCAGAGAGCTTAGTTACGTTGGACATGTTGATGTTTAGGAGTGTCTGAGACGAGATGTCAACTGTTTCTGCAGTTGTCGTAGACATGATGAGATGAGAAAGAGAAGAGGCTGCAGAGTGAGAGGAAGAAGAGGCAGCAAACGAGAGAGAGAGGATCAGAAAATTTAGGTTTTGACGGCTTGCTCTGATACCATGTAAGTGTGATAACTCTCTTATTACATTGGAAAGGGTTACAAGGAGTATATATATACATGAGAGGTTTAGGTTAAGCAGAGTAAATGAAGTTACTATAAACAGAGATACGATATATAGAAGAATTGATATGATGAGATATGCGTATCCTTAACAGTGGCTACTGTGCATCTCTGGTCATATTCATTGATTGTCAAGTAAAGAACAAATGTTTATCCATCTCAGAGATGGGGAATCATAAGTATAGAGCTCTTCTCCAGCTCTGGTTTGCTTCACAAGCATAACTTCTACCATAGTGTTTGAGTTTTGCTCTGTTTTAGATAAAAAGGTTTTAATCGTTTTAGAAACATTATACACATGATGTACAAAACATTTCTCTTTGAATAAATTTAACATTTAAATTTTTTTTAAAGTAATTTAGTTCACCATTATATCAATATTATACCATGACCACAAAAACATATGATAAACATTAATTGACAAAGTTATATGCATCAGTAGCTTTGATTGTTGGAGAAAAACAAACTGCATAATTTTGAAAAAAAAATCTTTGGTTTTTGTCATGTATAAACAGCTCTTTCCTTTCTCAAGGGTTTCAAATGATTAGCTAGAGATTTTCTTACTCGGTGTGTGTCATACACAAGTAGATGCGGTTTATTAATCACTTTCTTAAACTACGTACTAATCTCCAACATGTAGGATTACACAAGAAACATATAACAAAACCCATAAAATCACACAGCAAGGCCACGGTTGATATATGTGGCCATTGCGTACATTAGTTGGAGTAGTTAGGTTGGTCTTAGTAATACAACGAACCTGCAATAACGAAAAGAAATCTATTGGTAAGTTAATGAAGTTAATTAGTAGGGAATAGAGACGACTAGCTAGGCAGTTAAGGCATGAAATAGTATGTACCTTTCCACCAATTTCCCCTGGAAGCAGAGGCCGTTGTGGTGTCAGTGCGATCATCAGTTACTTTAGGGTGGTGATGAGATGGGGAAGTGGAGGAGGCATCAGTTCGTGGAGGTGAATAGTGTTGCTGGCCTCCGTAGTAGATGGAGGAGCTGAAATAGGAAGCTTCTCTTCTTTCATGGCTGCTTCTCTCATCTTTGGAACACACACCAAAAAAACAGAAGTCATAAACCATATTCGTATTGTTAACTTCATCAAATTTTATAATATGTTTGAATCACTATTGACTAAGCAATCGTTTCATGCAATCATCCCCGGGGTCTTGCTTAATATACACACTATACTTCAACTTAAACATTACTTTTGAAGATTAATAAGTAATAAGTGACTTTTTCTGAAGAAAACTATACATTATTTGTATATGAATTAACAATTTTCCTAAATTAGTACTCTAATAATAACAGAATCTGAAAAAAAATCATTGTATGTTTTTTTACAAAAGAAAGCTAGATTACAAATGGTTTGAGAAATGATACTTTGAACTTCAGGAGCAGTGTGATTTCCCTTCTTGTTTGCTACCTGCATTATAGAATGGGTTCAAATTATCTGCAAACTCAATAAAAAAAAAACTCCGGACCACATACATACACCGACACATAGTATATATAAAATATACATGCACCCATAAAAGGAGCCATGCATGAATGTGATAATTTCTATGCTTAATTGTCGTGTAGCTAGTAAAAAAAGTGCTTTATGACTTTGTAGGAAAATCCTTATCTATTTACAAAAGCCTATCTATTTGCAGAAAAATCTACAAAAAGTGCATCATATTTCAGTTTTATTCGAGTTGCTATAGATATGTAAAATCAACAATTTTCAACTAAATTCTAGACAACATCAAAATATACATTTTATATGCACATACTAACATGTGTGAACTATATAAGATTACCGGAGGAGGGAAAATTGAGTCAAGTATAGTTGAACAAGACGAAGCAGAGGCTGATCCTTTAGGACCAAACAAATGATCAAATGAAGAAGGTGCAGATGATGAGGAAGGAGCTTTGGTTTTCTTGATGTCCATAGATGGTCGATATATGTAGTAATTAGTGACTAATTAGATTATAAATTACAATGAGCTTTCTTGTGAGCGAGAGCGATGGAGAAAAAGAGGAGAGAAAATGAATAATGATAGTTTAAGTAATGATGCCTTTAGTTTTTTTATTGGTTTTGCCCTAACTCCCCAACGGTCTGTTATATAACCAACTTCTGATGAGAAAGAAGATGGGTTCACGTGATCCCCACGTGGCTCTGCCGCCGGCTTCAGCTCTCTCCACTCTGCCACGTGTCGTTTCTTATAGATGCTGTGGATAAACGTTGCTTCCTCTACATTTAATTCACCCTCTGTGTATGTCATTTGGATAAGTTCTTGACCTGCTTCTTTGCTTCACTTTATACACATGAAAAACAAAAACTCGTGTTTGATCTTTGGCATACACATGACTCAAATCTCAATATCCTTCATTTGAATTATTAAATATATGATAATTCGATTATGCATGTGACTCAAATCGACTTTTTCTTTAACCTGTAGCTTTTTCTTCTCTATATAATAATTTTTTGTTTTGTTTTGAATAACATTATTATGGAGTATGGATGTAAGACCATCTCCAATGGGGGTTCTATCCCATTGGAGTTCTAAAAGTATATATATGTATATGTATATATTATATATATGTATGTAATGGTAGGGTCTACCCAATAGTATAGAACCCTCCCCAAAAGTTCTACATATAGAATTTTTTAAAACTTTTGGGAAGAGTTCTATACTATTGGGTAGACCCTACCATTATATACATATATATAATATATACATACACATATATATAGTTTTAGAACTCCAATGGGATATAACCCCTATTGGAGATGGTCTAAGACCATGTTTATTGCAGGTCCCTTAAGTTGGGTCCCTTAGCGTACGGTCCCTTAACTTTTAACTGAAAACGCTAAGGGACGTCCCTTAAATCCCTTATATAAGGGACGTCCCTTAGCGTTTTCAGTTAAAAGCTAAGGGACTGTACGCTAAGGGACCCAGCTTAAGGGACCTGCAATAATCATGCTCTAAAGGGGTTATTCATGGACATCCTCAAATCTCGAATATTAAGCTTTGACCAAAAAATTGGTTTTGATCCAATGTAGGAGATGAGTTATTGTTAGACATTTCTTTGTTAAAAAAATAAGAATATGAATATGATTATATGGATAATGAATATCATAAGATATGGAATCTATTTCCCATTTATTCGTCGTAGACTTATTATATAGCTCTTTATATTCCTTAGTTTTTTTTTGGTAAAATTATATTCCTTAGTTGATATGGATTAGATATACTGATTGATATTTTGGTCTCTAGCCATAGTATCAACCAGTAAAGGATGTATTTAATCTTTGTACCAGATATTCTGATCTAATCCAAGTATAAATCTGTAGATTTTTGCGTTAAATGAAGTTATAATCATATCAAAACTAGATCTCATAAATTGATTTATTCCAATTTTAAAGGAGGGGCTGCAAAACAAGTTAGGCATATTCCACGTTTATCTTCTCTTTGATTGCATTAGATCTTCTCCAAATCTAACATGATTCGCCATATAATAATTACTTTTGGATACATAATTATGTAAGAATCTATCGTCGTAGACGTTTAATGTTACTTTCATCCCATGCAATATGACGTTTGAATTTGACCTATCTGAAGGTTTCTATGCTTAACATCTGTAAACAGAGAGATCATAAACGTCTTTGATTGCTAATCCGAACATGAGTTTAGTGTCTTTAGGGTCTGACTGGTTTCCTGCTACCACCCGTAAACGCAGTTTTTGCGGTTGCTAACTGTTGACAGCGTTTTGAAACATTCACTCAAACCGCTTTGTATTGCTTCGAACCACTTTGTACTGGCTTGCTCCTAGATGGAGGGGTCAAGGGACTTCAAGGCTAAAGAATCATAAAAGAGGAAAACCCATACATCAAAGTTATTATGAGTCAGGAATAAAAAGAAGGTAGTAACACCAGAGGCTTAAGACAATCTGAATTGGATTAGTAGTCGTTCGTCAAGTTTCTAAAACAATTTATTTTAAACCTCAAATGTAACATCATACAAGTTTTCCAACCATCATTTATCTTTCCCATTTATAGTCAATGCATTTTATTTAAATTTGGTTTGAAATGGATAGACTTAAAAGAGTGAAACTTCACTCTTCTTTTTAATATCGGAAGGAGGTTCATAATCAGGAGAAAGTCTTATTTCGATTTTTTCTCATCGTGTCATTTTCTTCAAAAACTCTGTAGTAGTGTGTATTTATCATAATCTGAATATCTATATATTTTATTAAAAGCTATATAAATTTTTGTAATCGAAATCGTGCTTAAATGTAAATTGACTGTATAAAGTTTAGTAAAATGAACCCACGCAAAAAAAATCAGATTAAAACATCTAAACTACACCTAAACCAAAACTACTGGGAACATTGCGTTTCAATTGACTTCTAAATCTGAAATAAATAAATCAAGCCATTAATGTAGCATATGTGAATCTCTTCTTTCAATGAACATTTTTCTTTTGGTTTACAGGGAAATAAAGAATCTATGTTGAAAGAAGAAATGTAATAGCACAAGTGTGATGATTTACTGTTGGTGTATTGAACCCTTCATTTTCTGATTAATCTCAGTACATCACCTACAAGATGTAACGAACCAGTTACAAGAACCTGCACACACACACATACACAGTCCTTGAAGCCATTCGAGTATTATCAAGTTATGAGACATCATATTCGGGTTTGGGTTATACCTGGAAACGTGTGGCTGAGCTACTCTCATGTACACTATCCCCAGTCCCAGCTCTTACCCAAGGCAATATGGGCTTTTGCTATGGGTCCATAGGTCTATAATATGTTTTGTGTTATTTTATAGGTCCATTTCAATTTATTAAATTATTAGTATTATCTCCCGTGCTATGCACGGTCATTTTATTGGTAATTTACAATTGTTAAATTGTTATTTAAGGTTTTAAAATTTACAGTGAGAAGAAGTGTTATTTATAGAGCTATGTATTGGTCACATTGAAACTTTGTTGTTTATATTACAACAGTCCACTATGAACATAAGATGAACGTTATACAGTAGAACCTCTATAAATTAATACTCGATAAACTAATAATCTCTATAAATTAATAAATTTCATCGGTCCCAACTTGAGTCGGTGTAAAATATGACATAAATCGATAAAATAATAAGATAATAATATTTTTAAATCTGCCATGTAAATATATGATCCCACTAAAATCATAAATTAATAATTTAGCTATATATAATTTTATATAAGTACAATCTAACATTATATTGTTGGTTTTATATTTACTATAAAAATACTTTTATTTTTTTTTAAACATTTCAATATATTTTGCAAATATTTAGTTAGGGGTTTTATATTTACTATAAAAATACTTTTATTTTTTTAACATTTGAATTACATCAAAAACCATATATCAATTCTATGAAACATAAAATATACACCAAATAAGATAATAAAACAATATAAAAGTCAAATTTCTAAAATTTAAATAATGTACATATGCTAAAATCAAATATTTTTTATTTTATAAATAAAAATGGAAAAAATAAAATAAGTCTAAATAAGGAAACTTTCGTAAATTAATATATCTATAAATTAATAAAATTTCAAAGTCCCAACATTATTAATTTATAGAGGTTTTACTGTATACTAATCTATTTTCCAAAACCAAAAAAAAAACCTTACATATCAAAAATCAAATTAAAAGAAAGCATATATTTTGCATAATTATAATTAAAATACCATTTTTGTAGATAATTGATGTAATTATTTTTTTCGTAGAACTCTTTTACATTCTTCACTTTTGATATTATACTTGCGTTAATAATATAGGATCTTAGTTTCTAGGAAAAATAAAAATGAAAACATGTAAAATAAACACTGAATGTGGTTTAATCTAAAAATTATCAGAATTATATCACCATATTTAGAAGATTATAAACACATAAAATCAAACTAAAAACTTTGTCAAAAGATAAAAAAGTAAGAAAAACCATCCTAATCAGGTAAGGTCTTTGATCTTGATAGTATACATGAATTTTCTTGTTTCTTATAGCCCATTTGTTGTCTCCTAATTATCCCTCATTTTTCGTTTTTATTATCTTCTTGTGGTGATTCTCAATAATATGAGGAGCTTTGTACGTGTGTGTTTGAGGTGAGAATATTATTTTCTTTTTCCAAACTATCACTACCGTTCTAAAGCAAAACTATCACTACTACAACAAATAAACATATATCAGCAAATCAAAAGTGATTTATTCCATTTTTTACAATGTTATTTACATATTCTTATTTTTTTTTCTTTTTTGACATTTACATATTCTTGTTTACATGACCTTTTTCCCTTTGTAGTATTTTTTTGTTTCCATAGGTCTACAATTTTTTTGTGTTATTTATAGGTCCATTTCAATTTATTAAATTATAAAAAGATCCATAATTAAACAAACCTAATCTATCTTATTAAAAGTCAAAACTTATTCTTGGGTTCATCCCTTATGATGAACCTCTAGGTTCACCATCTAATAAGATTACATTATTTCATTTTTGATATCTTTTAAATTATATTATGTTTTTAAAAATAAAAATAAAAAAAATAAAAAATAATAATAATTAATAAAACGAAAATAATACCTTTAAGAAAAAATATTTTAACACTAAATCCTAAAATCTAATCCTAAACTCTAAACACAAGGGTAAATCATAAACATTTGGATAAATTTTATAGTGTTTTAAAAATTTAGTGTTTATGATTTACCAAGGGTTTAGGGTTTAGGATTAGAGTTTAAAGTTTAGTGTTTATGATTTACCTAAGGGTTTAGGGTTTAATATTAGAGTTTAGGGTTTAGTGTTTTAGTGTTAAAATATTTTTTTAAAGAGTTTTTTTTTTTATAAAAATTATCCAAAATTTTATGATTTATCCAGGTATTTAGGGTTTATGATTAGAGGTTAGGCTTTAATGTTAAAATATTTTCTTTAAAAAATTTATTTTCGTTTTTATTAATTTTTTTTGTACTTTATTTTTTAAAACATAATATAACTTAACAAGATTTTGTTTCTTTTTTAAAAGATATCAAATATGAAATAATGTAATCCTATTGTATGATGAACTTAAAGGTTACTCTAGGGGATGAACCCAAGAATTACTCATAAGAAATCTATCACCATTACCAACTTCCCTATTGACAAAAGAAACGAATCTCTAGAACCAAAGTGTAGCAGTGAACCGCTAAGAGTATGATTAACCTGGGGTTTTTAGAGTGGGCTCTTAGCGAAAGTTATAAATTGTTTTTTAATTTTAACTAAAAAACTAAGAACCGATTCTTAAAGTCTTTTTTAAAAACCAGTTCTTAACTTTTTTAGTTAAAAGTTTAAAAACAGTTTCTTAACTTCCAGTAAAAATCCTATCTTAAGAACCCTGGATTAATCATGGTCTAACAACACCAATCACAAACCAAATGTTTATTCTACTATAGATATGTTAGTGAAATCTTTTCCATAGAAATATTTTTAATCAATTATATTTTTGTCTTAGTTTATTTTTTTCAGATTTTTATTTTATAACTATTTCTGGATCCACTTTTTTTTATTTATTTTTTCAGATTTTTATTTTATAACTATTTATGGATCCACTTTTTTATGCATTTCTAAAGAAGTTGCATCAGCTAAGAGACATTTCTCTAAGTTAAAATTGTTGAAAAAATATTTGAGATCATCAAAAGATCAAACGGTTTATCAATTTTATGCAATGAAAAAGAAATTTTGGAGAATATAAACTTTAAACTAATTATCAATGATTTTACATCAACTAAACCTAAAAAAAACGTTTTATGTGATTTTTTCGTCTTTAAAAAGAACTGATTTTTTTTTTCTATTTATTTCAGATCTTAAAAATCAAACAAAAAATAAATTTGCACTACAGAAAAAATATAGAAAATATTTATAAAAGGGTGTATATTCCATATTTTGCCGATGTTTATTATATTGGTTCAGACCACAATGACTTTTCTTAACCATTTTATTGCCATTGGTAGTGAAGTAAACACCTCACTGTTTCTACTTTCAGCATTATTTCCTATATCTTGTTCTCCTTCTGCGTTCCAATAGTAGAAAAAAAAGACTAAGTTGAGATATGAATCAGACAGATATACGATTAAGGCAGTTATGTTTCTAGTATAAACCTCTTTCACTATTGACAAGGCGTTCCCACACTTTCTGAAGTGTCAACTGCCATGACAAGTCAACCTGTGGATCATTCTCTGGCAAATCCGCCGCTTTACCAACCTTGGGATACACCGACATGTTTGGTACAAACAATGCCTTCTTGAAACAGACACCTACACATTAACTCTCTGTTAGCTGCATTTCTGTCTTTTGAAGAACTCTGTTTCTAAAAGTTTGTTTACACTAAGGCGGGACAAGGCTAAAAAATTACCGTAGTTTGCGCATGTTTTCCTTAGATGTGGAAGCAGCAGATTTGGGTCCCGAACTGGCATGCAATTGAATAGCAATATCTGCAATGGTGTCGTTCATATTATCTCCAAAGCTTGCAGAATTTCAGAGATAAACAGGTAATATACATTTGAAGAATAAGAAACACGTTCCCTTACCTGTTGGCAGTTTTCTTCTCCCGAGAATTTATCATGAGAGGAGCCATTAACCAAATGTTCTGAAAGGTTTGACTGGTTGTCTCCCTTAACCGCCATAGAAAACAATTTGGCGCATACTTCCATGCTTTCTGGACTGTGAGCTCCATCCAGATAAAATACTACATCTCCTGAAGTACTAGTTTCAATAAACTGATCAGGGACCACCTGTGCTCGTCCTTGCAAACTCGCTGTAGCTAACCCTTTGATGAATTGCTCAGGCAGAATACTCTTAACACAAAGAAGGATCAATTTCACAAACGTGAGAAGGACCTAGACGCAGGCTAATTATTAAACAAAGGTGAGAAAGAGAAGCTTACCATCTGAGTCAAACTGGGAACTTCAAGTTTACCAATTTGCTGAAGCCAAGTAGAGGCAAGCGAAACTGCTAGACGAGCGTTGAGATATTGGTGCTCTCCAACAAGCCCAAGTTTCTGACCACTTAACTGCCTTGCGGTTAGTGGTTGCACTACTTCGAGATTCACCTGTCACTACGATGTTAAAAGCTTTATCCAAAAACTAATACACCTACGCATACAAGAATGACAAACCTAAAATACTACAATCAACCAAGCAGCACAAACATTTTTTCCAAAATTTGATTACACTTTAATTATTAAAATTGGGCGTACATCTAATTCAGAAGCTTTCTCTTCAAGGACAAGCATGGCTTCATCAGGTTGGGCTACTGTGAAAGCTGGAACTCCAAGCTGAAATATGAACAAGCAAGATTAGGAAAACTATGGAGAGTATTACTAAGTTACAAAAAAAATGAATGAACCATTTTAAAGAGATATAGACAAGACTTATAGCCACCTTGAAAATTCCAGCCTTCTCACCAGCAATTTTGCCAAGTGTATCACCTAAGATGAATCCGAAGATAAGAAACAAGTCATGACATAATATTAAAAAATAAATAAAACTAAAAATATGCTTGCCATTTAATGAAAACATTTTCATAGCAGCATGGGTATCCAATGCGTAAGAGGATTCCAATTACAAACCTAGAATTTGCATGTGGTCATATCCAAGTGAAGAAATACCACACACCACAGGTTTCTGCCACACACCACAGGTTTCTGCTACCACTGAACCACCCCATGAGAACTTTATTAGTCAAAAAGAAAAGATCACTAACAACCTTCCTGAAAATAATCAGTTGGAGTCTTTTGATGATATCATTAAAAAATTTAGTGTTTAATAACCAAATATTTAGGCTCCGATCTTATCCAGGGTTGTCTTAAGAACACAAGGGATACATCCTATTATGAGAAAATAGCATTTCAGCAGAGAAAGAGGTCAAACGTACCGCATTGGTGGCGTCAAACTTCCCACCTAATCCTACCTCCAATATAGCGGCATCTACCTGCATAAAGAAGCAAAGAATAGTATCAATAAATAGAAGAAGTTTCATGTAAATGGGTAAGAATATACTCAAATAACGGTAAAAACTGGCATCAAACCTCTTCTGCAGCAAATATTTTAAAAGCTAGCAACGCAAGGAAGCGGAAATGTGTAGGCATTGGTATTTCCTCATTAGTTCTCTCCTGCAAATCAAATAGTCAACAACCTTGTATTATGAGTCAAAAACTAAACTTAGTTGCATCGTCATCTGGATCTATGCAAACTGTCACTACTTATCATGAAATTCTCAGACCGCAACACCAAAGGTGGTTCCAGAAGAATATATACATGTGCTCTTCAACATCACTACTTTGAAGATAACTACTAGACAATCGTGAAATCCAAAATACAAAAAAAAAAAGAGTTCAAAACATACCTTAAGCCTGTTAAAGCACCACCAGAAATAACATAAAAAATTTCTCCTCGCTAATGTCCTTACTGCAGCAATGAAACACATCATCAGCTAAATCGAAGCAAAACAAATTTCAGTAAAGAAGAATAAGCTCTACCTTCATTGCCTCTGTTTGTTGACTTTGGATCTATGAAGGTTACATCGAGAAATGAAAACAGAGTACGTAACGATATGCCAGAAGGCCCAAAACTAATACGTTTCAATCAACAAAAAATAAGCTCTGAAAAATGGGGAAACGTCTGTCAGCAGAGAAGGTTTATGATAACAAGTATAGTTTACAATTAGGTTCCTGCTTCTATAAGCACATAGATATATTTTTCTTTCTCAAAAGATTTCAAAAAGAAAAAAGAAACTAAGATGTAATAATAAGAAAAGAGAATACTATTTAGCTGTTGGATCAGAAAGTAATCAACCGTGCAAACAATAAAACACTCTCATCAAAAAAAAAAAAAGTTCAGTGAAAGTTTGTATCAAATAGTAATCAACCACGCAAACAAACTAGTAACCGTGCTACTAATGATCTAGGAGAAAGAACACATTAGATGCATGATCTCACATCGATTATCCCATTACTGGCTATGAAACCATGGCAAATTGACACTCCATCAAATGAAACAAATCCAAACCCTGGCAAAAAAAGCAGTCATAACGATATAACGGTCACTACTAGTGTAGAATTAAAGATAGATTAACAAGAACCCAAACAGGTGTCAAACAAACAAAAAAACCAATTACTTGGTGTAATATTACACAACATCTCCAGAAAAGGGAGTTGGTGTTGTACCTTGCCTTTGGTTCCAGCGACATGAATAACTTTCATCTTTAACATGTCATCTTCCAGATCAAGTAACTGCCAATGAATTACAAAAAGCGTAATCAGAGGAACTAAAAAGTGCAGAGCAAAAGTAGAATGAATATATAATTAAAAAAAAAGTGGAGAGCAAAAGAAGAAGAATGTTAATAGTAAGAGAAAACCACCTTAAGATAATCAAAGACAAGCTCGAAGCGATCCTCATTGTTACTCTTATCAGCACGACTTCGCTTCGTTATCAAAGACGACAAAGCAGCCAACGCTTCCTCATACGAATCTCTTCTTCCTCCTCCTCCCTTTTGCTTCACAACTCTTCCATAGTCGCCTGAGCTCGATCCAAAGGTATCAGGTTACTTTTTATCAAGTGAAGATGAAGTTAGAGAAAGAAAGGTAATCCACAAACAAAAACCTGGAGTTGTTGCCATGTTGATCTGCTTTCTTAACGAATAAAAGTGAATATCAAGACAAAAAAAGATACTCCGAGATTCTCGGAAAAAGAGAATATGAGAGAGAAAGGGAAACCTGACAAGTGAGAGAGAGAGAGACGGAAGGTGTGGCTGCTGCTGGTAGTGTGGCCATGTGGGAGAGAAACAGAGAGCTTAAACGGCACGATGTGGTACGAGGTATATACGAAACAGCAAACATTCTGTTGTCTACATTGCACTCTTCGTATAAGTGGCGGCGTTATCTAGTCATTCTCGGCAACTTATAGAAAACAGATATTAAGTAGATTATAAACAATTAATAAAACAAATCGTCTGGGTGGTGTAGTCGGTTATCACGCTAGTCTCACACACTAGAGGTCCCCGGTTCGAACCCGGGCTCAGACACTTTTTTAATTTTGTATTTTTTTCCCACAAAGTGCCACGTCATCAGAAGTACACGTAGGTGTGGCACGATTGACATTAGGGCGAAAACAAAAAGCTAATTAAACGAATCGAAATCAAACACTCACACCCCCAAATTCGAATCCGAAAACTCATCGGATCTTTGCTTTCTCTCAGCATCGGAGCTGATATCGATTTCATTCTAGTGTTATAGCTCAGTTTCTGGGGAAGAGACGAATCACGGGGGTATGGATTGGGACAACGTAGCAGCTGAAGATGTGATCGAGGCACTAAGAGAAGTCGAATGGTCGACCCCTCCTCGTTCTTTCAGCGAGTTCTTCTCCAGATTCGCGTTTCCTCGCTCTTTCTCTAAGTGGAAGAGCCGTCTCAAATGCAATCTCTACTAGTAATTATTATTTATTACTCTTTCCATCTAATCTCCAATTCTGTTTTTTAATCTTATTATGATCTTCATTACTTGTTTCGTTATGTTGCAGTTATCGGACGAATTACTTTATCCTAGTGATTTTCGTTCTTGGTTAGTGAAAAGAAGCTTCTCTTTTTTTTTAGGTTTAACTTTAAGATCTTTGTTGATAGATGTTTTTGTGTTGTACTCAGGTCTTGCTTTGATTACAAGACCATTGGCTATTCTTGGTGCTGCTTTTACGGCCTTGGGCTTAGCTTTTCTTAACGACAGGTTTTGATTTATTTTAGTTTCTAGTTTTATATCTCTGCTTTGGAATACGATTGAGGCTCCAATGCGCAACGTGAAAGTTGGTATTGATTTGATTTTTGGAAGATGCTAAGCTCCTTTGTATACAGTGGTTGCTAATGAACTGGATTTTTGAGTATTGAAATCGATTGGTTTTGTGTTTCTGAGTGTTTCAAGCCGGCTTCTCCACTCTGTTTTTTTGCATGGATGAAGGATGATAATATGCATCTTCAATAGTTTCTCTTGAACTGGAGTTTGATTACTGGATTCGGTAGATTTTATGGTCTTGGTTGGTTATATCTGAGTGTTTCAACTTGCTTTAGTTTCATCCCCGCTATAGTGGTTTGATTGTTCTTGTTATTTTCTGGCATCAGTGTTAATTTATTTTTGCTTTGTGTTGATCTGAAAGTATTCTAGTGTGTGGCTAGTGTGTGCGTGCTCTCCTTAGCAGAATATATTGGGTGTTTACGCTTAAAGGGGACTGTCTTTTGCAGTTTTGCGGCTACTTTTAATGAAAAGTTTATAAGGACTATTAGGCTTTTCTCTCCACACTTGGCCGCAAAAATGAGGCCTCCCCACATGTGAGTTTCTCTTTCATTAATTTTCTACGGAAGATATTAAGAGATTAGTTACAACTGTGTATTATGTGAGCACTTGCAGGCCTGTGATCCGTGGGAGATCAGCAGCAAGAAAGACAGTATACGTTTGTGGTAAACCACGATGGGTATTTGTCGTTATTTTCCTAACAGGTAACTTGAACCATCCCTTGATATGTATTAATGTAAACATTGGTTTCAAAAACTGATCGATGCCTTGATTTGCTTATGTATCATAGCAAGTCTTGTCATGTGGTTTTCTTCGTGCGGCTTGTTGTGGGTCCTCTATTCATTTCTCACTTCCCTCATCGGTAAGTTATTCCACTTGTTCAAATCGTAGATGTCCTTTGATGGAGTTTTGTTATTGACATGAGATTTTTCTCTCTCAACAGTGGTTATAGTTCATGCAAGCGTGAGAACACCAAATCTCAAGGCACGCTTAAACACATTCCGTGAAGAGTTTCGGGCTGTCTGGCGTAACTACAGTGATCTTTAAAGTCACAGCTCGCTACACAATCTAGACGCAAACCGAGCAAGCAGCCATCATGTTGTCAAGTAACCATGGTCGCAGTTTCTTCTCGTCTCATAGTATCACTCGAGCAGTCTAGGTCGTTAGTCTGAAAGTGAACATCTCTTTGTGTTTGTCGGATGATGCAGATCCAGACAGTTGACCAAGTTACTTTAATTGCTGTAGTGATGCTCATACTTTTCAGACACTGTTATTGATTTGACTTAACAATACTCTCCTTTTTATTATATAAATAGCATAAACTTTACCTGAATTATAATATCTGTATATACAAACTGGTGCAAGCACAACTGTGCATTGATTTATTTGGTGACGATTTGAAAATGCAAATGTGAGGATATTATTTGTAACAAAGACTAATGGGATGGTTCATGAGAGGTTTTGGCTCTACATGGTGTAACTGAAACCGTTGACTGTGAATCCTCCATCAACAGAAATGACCTGACCGGTGATGTAAGAAGCTGCGGGAAGGCAGAGGAAAGCAACCAGCGACGAGACTTCCTCTGGTTCTCCAACGCGACCAAGTGGTGTGCGCGAAACTACCGCCTCCTCAAAACCTTTCTTCTCGAGTACCTGCATCATGACAAAAACATAGTTTAAACGTTTTGTTTCGGTTTGCTTTCTATGCCAACCTCTACTAAATGAAATCGTGTTCCACATGCATTGTTTTAGGAAAAGATACCGGTTTCACAAGTGAGGTCTTGATGTACCATGGCGCAACACAATTGGTTCTGATGTTGTCCCCTGCCCACTCACAAGCTAGATTCCTAGTAAGCTGATTAAGTGCTCCTGAGAAAAAAAAACAAACCCATCTACCTTCAACCTCCTTTATTAATGGTTTTCTCTGAATCTATGAAGAAGACAGACTCGCTCACCTTTGGTTGCACCATACACAGATCCACTACTAAGATGAACCAAACCAGCCACAGAGGAGATGAACACAATGCTCCCAACTCCAGATGCTTTTAAAAGAGGATGTGCAATTTGAGAAAAATGAAAAGCAGATTCCAAGTTAGTCGACATGATTTTTGCATAATCCTCACTTGAGTACTCAACCGTTGGCTTCCTTAAATTAGTTCCAACGTTGTTTATCTGAAATACAAAAAAATAAAAAAATTGAGAAACTTCTTTCGCAAGGGCCAAGAGAATGATTCAAAACCCTAACTTGCGCAAGTGACCTTCACAAGCTATAATAAGCCTCAAGTTTAAACACTTTAGTGTTCTGTCGGATAAGGATGCTTACAAGGATGTTGAGCTTGCCACTAAAGGCAGACGAAACATCCTGAACCAACTTCTCCCTCTGATCCCTAACCGATGCATCACAAACCGAACCGGTTACCACTAAACCGTTGGACTTCCAATCATCCAAGCATGATTTGAGCTCCTCCTGGTTCCTTGAACAAGTATGAACTCTTGCACCGAATCTCGCTAGCTCCTCCACTACCGCTCGTCTTTAAGATGTGAGAATATATAGAGGATCAACGGGTTTTCATCAATCAATCACCAAATCATGCAAAAACAAACAAAATTGAAATTAAGAATATGATCTAAATTTGTGCTTAGTTTATCCCACAAAAAAAACGAGAATTCGTTGCAGAAATCGAGATGCTAACCCGATTCCGCGAGTACCGCCGGTTACCAGAGCGGTTTTCCCGCTGAGGGACCATCTTTTATCCGTTTCCATCGTCACTCTCCTCCACTGAGAATGTATAGAATTTTAACTTGTTTGTGGATATAGGTGCTATTAGGAGTGGGGGTTGTTGGGAATGGATACATGGATTTTTGGGTATTTCGTTATAGGAGTTGGTCTAAAATTTGTTTGGGTTTTTTTTAGACATTGGATTAGGTTCAGATATTTTTTGATCCGTTTTCGATTATTTTGGATTGGTTTCAAATATTTTAGATTTTGAAAAAAAAAATTTCCATTATTCATTTTTTCTTGACCTTTTGAATTTTTAATACGTTAAATAATTAATAAGTTTTGAAATAAAATTTTGGAAATAGAAAAACAGTAATTTAATTAAGGGTTTGAGAATTTAAATGCAACTTTTGTTAATGTATGAAATGAAAAATTTGATATACATTTTAATTGAATAGAAAATTACTGTCTACGATAATATGTAAATTATATGATTTTGAACCATAATTACGGATATCTATTCGGATTTGAATATTTTTCTTTCGGTCTGAGTATCTAATTCTTTTTTTTAATTTAATTTATGTTCGTATTTTGCTACGTAGGTTCGGTTTGGGTTTGGGTTTGGGTTTTGATCGTCAGGTTCAGGTACCAGGTAAAATGGTCAGCCTTAGGTGCTTAGGGAAGAGAGAGATTGCTTAAAATGACCCGCCCTTAATTATGGCCCAGTCCAGTAAAGAATAAGATTCGGCCCATTTAGAAACACTCGAGCGAGCGAGATAGAGAGGTGGAGCATCTATAAACCGAAAGGAAGTTAATATACAATCTGCAAATGCTCTAACGCTGTCATCGCCTGCCCCGATCAGTCTTCACGTCTCTTCTTCTTCGTCTTCGTTGTTGTAACCATCCAATCGAGATTTAAGTTCGCCGGAAAAAAACTTGCCGAATAACAAATCGGAGTAGCTGCCAGCTCAATCTCTCTGGTGAGACGAAGTTTCATTTCTCACATCGGTGTTTAGTTGCTTGATGGTTAAATTGACCTCAATCTTGTGATTCGTGAAGTGATGAAGATGGATGATAACATCATCTTCTTGTAGTTTTCCTCAAACTGATTAGGATATGATTGAAAAATACGAAATCTAGGTTTTCTATGAGTTCATTGCCTTTACTGAGTGGATATGTTTGTCCTTGTACTGTATCGAATGGATGATTCATCGTAGCATAGATATGTTCATATGATATTGCCAAGTCTGCGCATATATGTGATAATCTGCGACTTGATAATGTGATATTTTTCTGAGATATTAAAGTAATAGCAGTATTTGATTATGTGTGACTTGTGTTTCATATAGAGTTGTAGAGTTCATGCTTATGTAAGGCTGGCATTATTGTATGACTAGTGTGAGTGTAGTGGTGTGTGGCATCTGAAGTTTTGGTTTTTGACGTTTTAAACAGAACTCAACCCGGGTAGAGTGAGCTGGAGTAAGGTGTCCATCATGCAGAGTTAGGAACTTAAACTCTCCCATTAGGCTATCACTTTTTTTTTTCTTTCAAGTACTACTTGTGTACTCCCTCTCTTGCCCTCTGTTTGTATGATATTTACTGGTAGCTCACTGAATTTGTACATCGTTATCTGATACTGCACTTTTGTCATTGTTAATATCGTTTCATCTCTGTTTGGATCTTGGTGTTTGATTTTTGTTAAGAAATGTGGGTTGAAATTATTGTGAAAATCTGTAATTTTGACTTTCTCATGCAGCTTGTTTGATTCATTGCTATTGTAATGATTCGTTCCCTTCTTCTCTATTTTGACTTTATAAATCAGGATACTCTATTTAAACTGAAATCTTGTCGAAATATTCTTGTTAAAACGGTAGTTGTATCCATTGTTTTCTACCTTTTTGGTCAGATTCTGCTTCGTTGCCGATGGAGAGCTTAGCGCAACTTGAGGCACTGTGCGAGAGATTATACAACTCACAAGATTCTGCTGAGAGGGCTCACGCTGAAAATAGTCTGAGATGCTTTTCTGTGAATACCGAATATATATCACAATGTCAATACATTCTCGACAATTCATCAAAACCTTATTCCTTAATGCTCGCTAGCTCGAGTTTGTTGAAGCAAGTGACGGATCACACCCTCCCCCTGAATCTTCGCCTTGATATCAGTAAACTTCATATCCAGTCCTCCAACTTGATTGACTAGATGTATCTCTTTTCTGCCGTTTACTATCTTTTTTTTTATGGTGATATGTTGCTTTTCTTAGGGGCTTATATAGTGAACTATCTGGCTACAAGAGGACCGAAGATGCAACCATTTGTTATTGCTTCGCTCATTCAACTGCTCTGCCGGCTTACAAAGTTTGGATGGTTAGATGATGATAGATTCAGGGATGTGGTTAAGGAATCAGCAAACTTCTTGGAACAGGTGGTGCAACTTCTTTGGGATATGGTTTCTGTATTTACACTGTTTCTTAGTGCCTGGTGGACATTTTATTGTAGAAACCCATGTGGATGGTACTTCTGTAAAAGTTATAGATTTTTAACACGAGCTTGCTGAAATATGTTTCTTTCGTAAATTTTGTTTGAATAGGGTTCCTCGGATCACTATGCTATTGGATTAAGAATTTTGGATCAACTTGTGCAGGAGATGAATCAGGTAAGTGATGTATGATTGTATATTGTCAATTTATTTACTTTTGTGAAATACTTTCTGACATTTGTTCATTTATCTTTTTCCCAATTCTTAGCCTAATCCAGGACTGCCTTCCACACACCACCGGAGGGTTGCCTGCAACTTTAGGGATCAATCCTTATTTCAAATATTCCGAATAGCTTTGACTTCATTAGGCTATCTGAGAAATGATGGTAATATTATGAACTTAATGTTGTGCATTGATGTCATCAACCTACAAGATTGTTGGTTGCGCATGTGTGAATTTTGCTGGCCTTAAAAGAATGGATGCCACTTTAGGCTAACTGTTGGATGACTCATCTTTGTTTTTCTTAGATCCCATCATGCCAGCTTATAAAATTTTGTAAATGCCATCTTGAAAATATATGCTAGTGGAATGTATTATAATCGTGGAGTATGTTGCTATCTTTGTCGATGTCTATCTGTTGGTCTAGGCATAGGCTTGGGAATTTCATTTTCTTTTCCCTGTTAGTTCAATAGTAATGAGTCAGACATTATCTTTTAATCAGCTACTGGGCGTTTACAAGAACTGGCCCTTTCCCTTTCATTGAGGTGTGTATCGTTTGATTTCGTTGGAACTTCAATTGATGAAAGCACAGAAGAGTTTGGTACAGTTCAGGTAGAACATTAATATCGTGTTATCTTTTTCCTGTTTGTCAACGCTTAGTGCCTATGTATTTTTGTACTCATTTTTCATGGTGTTATAACTTCTTGTGTAACCGATAATTCTTAGATTCCAACGTCTTGGAGGTCAGTATTGGAGGATTCCTCCACGCTGCAGATATTTTTTGATTATTATGGTAGTACTGATTCACCGCTTTCGAAAGAGGTATGTCCATATTGTCCTTTTTTCAGTTCTTGGAGAGAAAGGCATATAAGCATCTGTTTCATTAAAGAATAATGATAAAACGTGATCTATTTTTTCGATCATTTTTATCCACTTTTCATGTGAGGACAGGTGTTTCAATTGCAGTAATATCATTGAGGATCTAATTTGTAAATATACAGTTTGGACGCAATAGCTAGTTATCTTATAGATGATTTGGAATTAGCTATTTCTTAATGTTCTTCTGTTTTAACTTCTAGGCACTTGAGTGCTTGGTGCGATTGGCTTCTGTAAGACGTTCTCTGTTCACAAATGATGCCACCCGCTCTACGTTTTTAGCCCATTTGATGACTGGAACCAGAGAAATTCTTCAAACAGGAAAAGGTATGGTTGATGTATTATACTGTCGGATAATGCACTGTAATGCAACTGTCTCATTTACCAGTTTGTAGCCCTTCATGACTGAAATTCCAGCCTATTAGTTATGTAGTCTGCTAACATGGTAGTCTACGAATGTGTTAATTTTGTGTTTGAATGCATATTTACCCCACTCATCTTACTTAGCTGATCCCGGCCTCTTATTTTCGTCAATACAAATTGCTTTTGTTGAATCAGGTCTTGCTGATCATGATAATTACCATGTGTTCTGCCGTCTACTTGGCCGTTTTAGGTTGAATTACCAGGTAATATTCTTTTATAATTCCCACATTACTGTTTGTATACTCTTATGTGTGTCATAGCTAGAATTTTATGTTACTATCCATGTACTTGGGTAAATGTACACTTGTTCCTTTTTCAATATGTCACAGTCGGACAGTCGTTACGTGACTACTGATGCGACATGTACTTTTGTATTCATTGATAGCTCAGAAACAGTATGTACTAACGTTTTTGTAAATTTAACATTGTTCTCTTGGGGGAATACTTACCTCTAGTTGAAAATAATAGATTGGGCACTTGTGTTGTGTATTGCTTTGATTTCTCTCTGGACGTTCTTTAGTAATGGTATATAACAAGATGTTAATGCCAGCATGTAATTGTTTTCGCTGTGCGGAGTCACTGTAAAAAATTGGAGGTTAATTTGGACATGGTTTATTGGTTTATATGGCTGATAAATTCATATCTTATGTAATATTATGTATGAATTCATCTGCAGCTTTCGGAGCTTGTGAAGATGGATGGCTACGGTGACTGGATACAGTTGGTGGCAGAGTTTACACTAAAATCTCTCCAGTCATGGCAGGTAAATTTTCGCAAATTTATGTTAGCGAATGCATTAACAGACCGATTGTAGACACTACTTATCTCCTTAAAGGCCGGCCGTGCCATTTTACAACGTGATCGATGTTAGTATAGCTTAAATGGTTAGCTGAGATGGTTTCTAGTTTGCAAAATCCATAAGAGATTTTTTCTTTCAGTGGGCCAGCAGCAGCGTGTACTACCTTCTTGGAATGTGGTCCAGATTAGTAGCATCTGTCCCATACTTGAAGGGTGATTCACCAAGTCTACTAGATGAATTTGTACCTAA